TTGCATTGAATAGAACGCGAGGAAACGTTTGTTCTTGCTCGGCTGGTGTATAGCCGGCTTAACACGTTAACTTCCACGTGTGCTATCTTAAAGCTGCCACGACAAGGAACCTAAATTAAGAATCTATTTTGACAAGAAATGAACGCTAAGCTTGTACACGTGCTCGTGGTGTCTGTATCCGCTCCTTTCCAAACATCTTTAATGGAATCTTCTACGAAAGCTTTTTTAGACGCGATGAAAAATCCAGGACAAAGTTCAAAATAAAAAGTTATGGGAGAAAGTTTTCGAAGTTGAAGAAAATTGAAATCTCTTTGAAGAATTTTAAAATAATTCTGTATAATTCAACAGGATCAATTTTACGATATTTTTATTACACTGATCAACTTTTCAATTTCTCAGAAATATTTCCTATAAAAAAACCTGGATGATGCTAAGAATTTTTAAGCAAAAAGTGTACAAATTTAATTGGTATTTTCGTTTTGACTAATTTAATTATTGAATGAAATTTGAGAATTTTTCTTTCTTATTATTTAATCTTTTTATGCTTAAGTTGCAACGTTTCAAACTTTTCATAGATTCCTCTAAACTCTTCAGCTTTATTAAACAGAGGAAGCTCTGTTCCCAAAGATTATGTTAGTCAGATAAAATGTTTCCAACTATATTTCAGTACCGACTGCCTCCATTTATCTGTCACAGTTCTTGGTGTATAACCAAGGAGAGAGACTCTGCGGAAGTCTGTGGCCATAGTCACCGATCGTAACGTGTCAGTAATGGGTCAGTGTGGGGTTAGGTCGAAGATCGGGGTTAATTGAAGTGTTCAAGTGTGCCACTCGAGGAATTCTCAGTAGATATTGCTAGTTTACGAGCGTGTCACCATCGTCGCGACAATTTTTCTACGCTGAATACTTCCATTTCTTTTCATGCACAACAAATAAAAAAACAAAATTTATTTTGCTTAAATGAGTAGTTACTTCCTTCCAATTTCCTCTAAATTATAGCTCATCTAAATAAAGTGTAAAAAATGTTTGAAATTTAATGTCAATAATAATAAATACACACTTGACGGTTCGAAATTACCAATAGTCATACGACTGAAAAAACCAGATAACAGAAAATGATTGATCCTTCAAAAAGAGCGATGGTTTTTGCAATTCACACCGATTTGGAGCACCAAACCGATCACTTGAAACGATTATCGTGAAAAATGGAAAACCAATAAACGAATTTAAAAAACCAATAAACTGATAACAGATAAATTGATTTTATATTCATTTAAGCCATCCTATATTGTTAATTAACCAAATATTATCAATTAAGAAATTTGTTAATATAATTAACTTAGTAAAAGTGTAATAAAATACTAGATAAAAACCTCACGATGCTAATTACACCACAGTTTGCGTCTAATTTACATCCACAATTGACAGGGGTGATGGACATCCCACAGTTACTAATCTTAGCACACTTTGATGATATCAGAGCGTAGAACAAGGGTTAATTGAAGTGTTCCAAGAAACTCCTTGGATCCATTAACAACACACAGAAACTTCATTTATTCTTGCAACATTGCATCAATATTAATAAACAGTAAACTATGATTGATCACTATCAAATATTCTATCTACAAAACCACTATCAAGATTGAAAATAATTTTCATTTTAGAGATTCAAGTAGATTATTCCAAATATCTACAGAGATTCACAGTTCCAAGACTACACCACGAAATAATTCTCTATCGAGTGAAAATTATTGATGAAACAGCAGAGAATTAGGTAAACTGAAAATCGAAGGGGATAGGAAGCGATTGATCGGCGGTTTACCAACAAATCTACCAGAAAATGGTCAATAAAACATTGACCGCAGCTCGGCCGCCCTAAAACCAGGAAGAAGGAAAAGTCTGCGCGAAAAGTGCAGGTCGAAGGTCTCTGTTAGACGAAGAAGGTACGGAAAAAGGGAGTAGAAAGAGATGAAGGAAGAAAGATAGAAGAAAGCGGAGTCCGGGGATGGCTAGACGGAGCTCTAACAAGTGGCTGCAGTCCGGTAACGATCGTCTTCTGTGTCATGCACCAGACACTCGTGCGCTTTCTCTATCTAAGAGGTTTAACCAATACACACCTGATTTCACGTTTCTTCGTGATCGTGTGTGTGTACCAACATCAGCAAATGCCTTTTAATCTATTAATTCTCACACCTCGAAAATATATTATTTTCTCTCATAAACAAAAGCAATAAATTATTAATACGTTGGTTCCTTTTGGCTGATTGGAGATTAGCATTTTAAATTTAGAAAATTTTCTAATAGAATTAGTATTTTACAATGCTAATGTGGAAAATGGAAAACTGATTGTGAGGGATGTTGCTGACTAACACTACAAATTCAATATAATTAAAAATTTGAAATACCAAATGAAGGGGTTAGATTAAAAATTTTTTGAATTATTATGTCATACTATTGTCCATGTTCACTGTGGTATTTTACTGCTAATTGTAATTAGATAGAAATTTCCAATTTGCTACCCTCCAATAAAAACATGCATAATTCATAATCATATTTTTCTCAAATTTATTTGAGGGTCACCAGTGACCCCTACAGCAATAATGAAACCTAGTTGTAATATATGCTACACAGTGAAAGTCTATTATCTTACTAATACATGTATTAGCCAGTATACTGTAGATATCGAACGAATAGGAGGAATATATGAATATAAAATGGAGCCGGAGTCGGTACGCGTACATCCCAAGGGTGCACAGAATTCGCCATAATTGGATACGATTCTATTATTCCGCCATTCGGAGAATGCAACTGGCCAGACGGTGTTCATATTTTCACATAATTCAATTACGCGTTTATTCGATTCTTAAACAAGTCGGTGCAAAATTTTCCAAACACTAACAAACGTTTAATAAACATCATTGATTCTTAAAAATCAATAAACCGTTCAAATGGAAAATTAAATTCTCTCAGTGGATTTGATCCTACTGAGATTTAAATTTTCCCAATTATTCGGTTACCGGGATATGTAAATATTTGGAGATGACCACTCGAAATTAATTCAACGAGAAGCGACGTAGAAAACTGGCTTGACGATTACGAAATTAAGTAGGTCCTGAAATAAAGAGAATCCACTTGAACCTGTTCGTTTGCTCTACTCTCCTCGATAACGACGTCTTTTGTGGATTGAGTTTCGTGTTTGAACACAATTCGTACGTAAAGAAACGAAGATTTAGGATGAAAGAGATACCAAGACGATCGTCGATTCAAGCTTTCTTTCAAAGATGCATTCTTTTTGAAGCACGCTTAAAGGAGACCATGGACTGCCTCTAATTCGATCAAGAGTACTAAGTAACCCTTCGGTGTAATTTCCGTTTCAATATTTATCTTAAGAAAATATTAAGTAAAAATTCTGCATCCCATTTCTATATAGAATCTCGGCGAACCTTAAATTGGAACACGACTTTTTCAGTCAATATTTATAATTACATATTCAAAATGCCATATTTTTAGTAGCCGCTAAAATATACTAGAATAAAAGTGTAATTAAAAATTTGTATTTTTATTTAAAAATAAATCATTAAGTATTCGAAAATATCTGTGTGAATTTTAGAATTTAAAATTATTTAAAAATTTAAGTTACTCAATAATTTAATGAAACTCTCGAAGAGAAGAAAGTAACGAATTATTTCGAGCGACTAAAAATCCTCGTGACCCTTTTTTTCGCTTCCCAAATTAGTAGCAAAGTCTAAAAGAGGTAATAAAAAACGCGACACGTGCGCGCCATTTCATTAATCACACGACTAAAGCTTCCCCCCCCCAAAAATACATCCGGATGAACATACTATTTATTCTATTTTTAATAAAAATAACAATTTAATGCTTTCTAAATAAACAAAGAAATTGCACAAAATGTACTAATTTAAATTTCACTAAAAAACGATTTGCCTATATCGAGGTTAGTTTACCAGTACCTCGTGTGCGCACTAATCCCGCCAAATTCGCGGATATTGAATTAAAACTTTTTTTATAGATTGGTTCAATGCCCTCTGATTTCTGCAACATGCCTTTGTGTATGTGTTTCCTATTTACAATCATGCACAAATAAAATTACACCACGCGCGTGTTTATAACCATTAAAAAATGAATAACAATTTTATAAAAATTTGAAATCGACGCGGTGGCACGAAACCCTCGTCACGTGACACCGGGGACATGTATATAACACACACACACATATATATTCATAAATATATATATAGTGCACGGATAGAGAAGGAAGAAGGTGAAAAGAAAGATGGACAACAAAAAAGAGGAAGCGAGAGAGTAGGAAGAACTACCGAAATATCTGTTACTTTAATCGTGCGGTAGCTTAGTCGTTCGATGATAGAAAGCACATGCCCGCCTCGAGAACTGTCAAATACCGTTATGTTTCTTTTTAACCGAAGACTAGCCGAGGCCTAAAAAAGGTACTTTCCTTAAGATTAAATCGATATCGAAGAAATGGTTAATGCTGCACGTTCCCTTGTCTTAAGTAACACTTAATCCTCGATGTACACGCTTCTTTCGTATATCTATCCCGCTCTCTAACGCGGTGGACACGCTTGTTTGTCCTTGTCTTGCGTCTCGCACGTCTGTATATTCTCTCCTTTCCTCCGGCCACCATGTACGCTCTCTCACTTCCTTGCGAAATATATACATATACACATGCATCGGTCGTGTGTGTACGTGCACGCTTTCTCATATACACGTGCAGAACTACACAACTACGTAGCGTGACGCGTAGCCAAACACGTATACAATCACTGTTATTATTCCTGTGTAGAGCAATACCGATGCCGTGCAACAGAACGTAACGGTATCGAAGTAAGCCGGGGTGAGAAGACCTTAACCTATCGTGGTTAAAGGCCAGGCAGTGTAAGCGGCTCAAATAAAAAAAAAAAGACCGAGTGATCAGATCAAACAAACGTTTCTTTCCTTTGGTTTCCGATTAAATTCTCTTACCTGCTTTACTAGTGGGAGTAGTGTCTGTTCTATGCTACGGGTCTTTATCTCTAGGGTGGCTGGGTCTACGGGGTCGGGTGTCGCCATGATTCGAACACAACTCCGCGCTCCGTAGACTCGAACCGAGCCTAGAGGGTTCGTTGCACCCCTCTTGCTTCTCCGTTCTCGCCACACAACCACCTCACAGCACAACCGTGTGTTTCAACGTATTTCCCTAGGCACCCCTCTTTTCACACTGCCGGCCAATCGTCGTACTGACAATCGTCGACGCGAGCGACATCCCGCTGGCGCGGCGATCCATGAGCAACTGCGTGTGCCTTCGGCTCGAACTACCGGAGTGGCCAACCGGCGCCATCTTGTGGTACGCAGCTGAGTCACGACGCTTGACGTCAGTGTTTCTAAACTGTTAACTGCTCCGCACGTTTCGACTGTAATTTCAGTGAATTTTATTGTAAAATTGAAGAAAATATATGAAAAGTAGTGTTGTGGTTAGTGTTCTATCAAAATTGAACGAGTGGGAAGGACTGGATCCGACTTGGGAGCAGTTTTTACAGCGGAAGTGGAAGAAATGTGAGTTTCAAATACGCTTTCGATTTGCGCGCTAAAGGCAACATAAAAATGGCAATGCGCAGTTGTATAGTATCGTACGAAAATACTTTTTAAATGTAAATTGCAAAATCTGAGTACGATTGCAATATTCTTTAATCCCAAATATATTTATAGTCTAGTATGACATTGCATATATTGCATACATTGTATACATATAAGCACGTGTACTTGTTAGATACACATGGCAATAGAGGGATTGTGTAAAATATTCATTTTTTCAAATTCAGGTTAATATTTTGTTAAAATTCTAATAATTTATATTCCATTCTTTATCTTTTCTTCTTTATTCCATTTCCAGCATTTTAACATTATAGTATACTTAAATATTTGATTTTTTTTTAACATATACTATCTGTACGTAATTGTTAAACAATTGAAGGTAAATAAGACAGGAGAAGGAACATTTTAAGATTTATTTTTCGTAATTATGGATTATTTTTTCTTCTATCAGAAGTTTATTTACAATCTGTATTTTCGAGATTAATAAATAATTAACAATAACTATGAATTAAAACGCCCTTTTAAACACTCAACACGATAAAACACTAACAAACAATTATTTCGATAATTTATATTTAAGTCATATTTGCAATTAAATGCTCGTTTAGAATATAAATATCACGATACGCGTCAGATAAATAACATCGTCCGAAGTTCGTGAAATTCTTTCTTTTTTCTTCATTAACACTATCGAACACATCTAAATCTTTCATAAAGCTACACATGACTAGTTCTAAATAAACAATATCATTGCAATATATTTTGTTGAGAAACAGCAATTGTTTTTAATAAATACTGACAAATATCCTTTTTCAAACGGCTACAGAGAAATGTTGAATTAACCTAACATAAAAAGGAATCAAAGGGAAAGAAAATTCTGATTTTCTCTTTTAAACAAAATAAAAGCCCCACAAAATCATCTATGAAATTAAGTTTCGCGTGAGAATAATTAATTTCTAATTTTTAGGAGTATTAAACTTTCATAGCACTAAATTAATTACACGCTTCCTGTGCTGTGTTTCCCTACAGATTTCTTTTCTTTCCACTGGAACGTTACTATACCATCAGAAATTAATCGATACTGGGTTTAACTAATCATCAATTAACATCTGCTCTAAGATAGTTCGAACGTTCAAGCATAGAATTACTTCTTCGCGTGAACGAGCTTGTTTTGATTGGGAGCCAAAGGCGCTCTTCTTTTCACGTGTTTCTCAGGAACTTTGTCCTTTGACACGGAAACGCCGTTGCAAGCTACTCCACCCTTTCGTTTCCTTAAAGATTCAGTCGGCAGATATTCAGCTGGTCTCAATAGCTGCCTGAAATTATACGGTCCGTTGATGTCTTCCGGATCGTAATCCACTTTGATGATCTCTTGCTTTCGAACCGCGGTTGGCCTCAGTACTTGTCTAAGATCGGTTGGAATACCGCGTGTATCCTTCTCCATCTCTTTCCGTCCTAATCGACCATTAATAGCGTTCTGACAATTAACCAACCGATTATTGATCCCATTTTTACCATCCGCACCAATCGGTCGATTCTTCTTCAAATTACTATTCTCCTTCGTAGGCAGCAATTCCCTTGTTCTATCATTTGAATGGCTTCTCAAGCCATTGCTCAATTTCGATGGTTTAATTAACTCATCGTCCATAACCATCTTGTTGATGAATAAACCATTCTGGCATGCAGTGAAGACGTTTCGATATCCATTGCTGCTCGGTGCATGCCCATTCATCTTGTTCATCGGAGGGTTTGAACGACCATTTGGTGGTTCGTGTCCATTCATCAGATAATGACGATTATTTTGGGGAATGTACCCATTGGTAAATTGTGGATGACCGTTTGTGAAGTTCTGATGGCTATTTATAGAGTGTCCATTGACGACACGTTGCTGACCGATGATCGGTGGTTGACGCTCATTAACATCATTGTATCTAAGGATGTATCTGGATCGTATGCCATTTGGATTGTTGAGATTCGAAGAGTCGACCGCATGTTGTTTACGGCGCGGATTGCCCTCAGGGGACTGCAGCTTGTTATTAGACAGGTGATTAATCCTTGTACTGTAAAAAAAAGATCAGTCTTCTAGGCTAATTGATTGATCGTTAACATCAGAACTACCGACAGATGAAGATTTCAGAGACGATTGATAATTTTGTGATCTAGACATCTACATGTAAAAATACTCGGATTTCTGTAATGTTACATGGATTTTAATTTGAAAAATTCTTTTGTGGATTGCAGTTGGGTTGCATTGAGATCGGTTAATTAGTTATTTTTTTTTTCGAATATTTTCTATCGAATGTCTTCTTTGTTACCGATGATTTCAATGTAACCTCGTGGCTAAGATATTTCTGACTTGATGTTTCGTGATAACTACATCAAGAATTTCTAAATAAAATTAAATTCTCTCAGATGGGTATGATACACTCTACGGACGGCATAATTTTATTATTTTACCTGGAAGTTTGCCATGATACCTCTGGCAAGGTTACAGAAACACACCAAGAGATTAGTAACTCAATAACTATGGTACAATGGTTAATACAACGATACTGTCTAATGCGAAAAATAATATAAGAAAGAAAGGTGAAGGTGAAGAGAATAAGTTGTCGAGGGTTGTGTTGATAGTTTAAAGAGGAAACTGAAGATCAAGACCAGGGTTTAATATATGTATATGTAATAAATGATTGACTTGCCATGAAACTTTACCTCGGTCTGCCAGAATTCTCTTGTTCTGGACTCTCGCTCGGATTTCTCAAAGCTTTGTGCCATATATCGGAGAGATGTTGCTCCGGGGCTATCGAGTAGTCGCCCTGAGCTTCCAAACGTTCTTTCCTCTCGGCGTTTACTTCCAGAACCTGCCCCATTCGACTCCTAAAATTGAACAAAATATAACAATTTCTGAGGAAAATAAATTTGTAATCCTCAAATGAAGGAGAGGGGTCAATCGTGACGTAGACCTAGGGAGTCTGCTTCTTAATTAGGTACCCAAATTTTATTTAAGTAAAACTAGAAACGGTGTCTAAAATTAAATTTAAATTATTACTACCCAAATGTTGATGATAATTGGGGGGTTTTTACAGTGGATGTCTACACGTTAATTTAATTTAATTGAGATCTCCATGTGATATTGATTCTGAGATCTTCTTTATGTACCTCGACAATGGGTGAAGGTCATTTTCTAGCTGTATCAACGGTAAGTCCCAACCAGCTTCGTCTTCGTCGAAGTCCGAACCACTTCCGATGCGAGTGCCAAAAGCATTGGAAAATTGAGCATTCGAATTTTCCATTCGTTCATTGATCACGAAAAAGGTTAATCGATTGCAACAGAGCATTAAGTCTATTTACCTGCTCATTTCATCCTTCAGGTCACGATAGTACTTGATGGTCTCCTCTCCATCCGCTTGACCTCCGCTTCGGTATTGTAGGATTGGCTGAACCATTTTGAATCCTTCCGGTTGGACGTAATCCGGCGGGGGCTCCTCGATGTCGTTCAATCGTATTCCAGGCTTGTTGCGACGTAGATTCTTGTGCACTTCTTGATTCTTCATGTGAACCTGTTAAAAAAGTAATAATTTACAAATGTATTTTAATTAAATTCTATTGCCTCGGTGCTTGAAATAATTAATCTTCAATTTTTTTATAAATCCAAATAATACTTTGTTTACTGCTTTTTTTAAAATCATTTTTTACTTACATTCTGAGAAAATTGTATAAGATCAGCTTGTCTCAATTTAGGATGCACAGTGTCTTTCACAGGTGGTTTTTTCTTTTGAACTCTTTCTTCCTTTTTGTACCATTTTTCAACGATCATTTCAGCATCCTCGTTCTTTAAGCCTTCTCTCAGTAACGCTTTATGCGCTTCCTCTTTGTCGTCGTAGTTGTTCAAGATATTCTTGAAACGTTCCTCGTGCTCGGCTCCGAAACGCTTGCGAATGGTGTAGCCTCTGAAATCTGCGAAAATCAAAGGATTTTTTTATTCCATATGTAGTACATGCGTATTTATTAACAATAAACATACGGCTTTGAATAATGACTGCAGCATCATCTTCCTTCAATCCTTCCTTATCTGTTTCCTCTTCATTTTCTTCAAGTTCTCTCTCTGCTTCTTCAGCTGCAGCCTTCTCTGCTTGTTCTTCTATAAAAATAATATTAACAAATTTTTTAAATTAATGTCTTTTTTTGTAAGTTGTTATTTTTGTTCTGTAAAAAACCTTGCGCTTTCTGTAGAACAGTAGATTCTTCCTCTTCCTGTTTCTTCTTCATTTCCTCCAACAGATGTTTTCTCGATAACCATCCACGTATGTGTCGTTGGAGAGTAACAACCGACACAGCGAATTGCCATTTTTGTTTTCTGAATCGAATCTTAGCGAGCCATCGACGAACGCATGACTGAACCATGATGATTTTTCGAAGTTGTTCCTCGTACATCTTTGACAGAAACTCGACGTGGTAGTATTTGAGGAAGACTTTTGTTCTACCTAACGCCCATCCATCCATTTTTAAGCGAATCAGGAGAAGACGACAGTTGTCGCGATTAGCTACCACTCGTTCGTCGAAGCCAAACGCCAAGAAACAGTATCTGCAATAGAAAATTTTAAAGGAAATTTGCAACGTTGCTAATCTGCAATGTTTCAAATTTTTAAAATAGCAAATTGGCAAAATTTCAAATCTTCAAAGCATCGTATTTTTTAATTAAATTTTAAATTTTATTTAAATTTTTTATTAAATTTAAATTTTAAATTACACAAAATTTGAAGCGCAGTTCATCAATGGTTCCCATGGTAATTGCCTGGTGTTAAAGAGTAATTCATGGACACGTACCTCTTTAAAAATTCATTAAACGGTATTCTATGCGAAAATCCGTTCTGTCTGATTCTTATTGTCTCCAAGACCCCAGTGTATCTCAATTGCTTCACGACTTTCTCTTTATCAAAGAATTGTGGACTTCTAGAGTCGTTTGGTTTTATACATCGTACGAATTGGGGTGATCCTGATACCATCTTTTGCAATAAATCCATAAGCGAGTATCGGAAATAAGTTGCCACAGTTTGTTGAGCTCTTGACTGCGAAGCCAATCCACGACTAGAGTAACGTTCCTAATAGGAAATAAGTAATTATTTCAATTATGCTTCCTCTAAATTTCTTCCTCAACTCGTTCATTTGCGGTATCACTCACTGATGACCCTCCAAAAATGTTTAATGTATAAATTTAGAAATATCAAATCATGTACCTTGGTATTCTGATTTGATTGCGACAACTTCTTGGAATCAGTTTCGTGAACAGCTGAATACAGGTTGCCAGTCTTTGTGATAGGACATTGGAACAAGAAACGAACCATGTCGTACTGAGATTGTCTGACAAGTTGGATGACCTCCGGGGGCAGGAAATTTCTGTTCTTTTCCAAGAATCCTTCCGCTTGGTAAACCACGCGTCCTGCGAAATGGTGAACAGCGAAACAAACAGCATCCGATTTTGGTCGCACGTAGAATTTCGACTTGATGTTGTTATGGAACTTCTCTGTAATATATAAAAAAATTTTTTTTTAAATTAAATTTCTAACAATATAACTTTCTCAGCGAAAACTAATTTATCGAGATCAGTTCACCAATTAACGATTTATTGGTGGCTCTAGGAAACCGACTCTCTTCATCCAACAAAGCTAAAAGTCCCATTGGTTTGCTCAAAAGCATGTCCAAAACAGGTCTGTTGTCCGAAAATTCCACTAGATCCACAGGTATTCCCTCAGCCATGTACTCCTGCTGTTCCCACGTGAATATATGTTGATTAAAGTAGTATTGTATCTGTTCGTTGGCGATGTTGATGCATAGTTGCTCGAACGAGTTTCTCGGGAAGTTTTCGAAGCCGAAAATGTCGAGAAGACCGATCGCCAACGGTTCGTAGTTAGGCGAACGATTGAAGCAAAGCAAACAGTTGATTTGATTGACCATCCAATCGAACAATCGACCGTACAATCCTTTCGCCATGGCGTCCCTTGCCGCGCAAGCTTCGGCTACCGTATTGTTTCGCGTAATTGTTTCTCCTCGGGTCATAACAGAGTTCGATGTCAAAGCTTCCAGGAGATCATTTTCCTCGATACCAAGTAATTGCGAGACTGAAATTTATCAATTACAATTCTGTAGATTTTGAATAATTTTGTTATTTTCGATTAAATGACAAATTTTGAAACAGGAAAAATCTGACATAACGATAAAGGTATTGCAAGATGCTACTTGTATTAATATTTGATTATTTGTCTATTAGCGAATATCCAATTTTCAATAGCTAAGGAGGGAAGAATTGTGATTTTCTATTTGAAGCATTAAATATTATAATTTCGCTAATTTTCAACAACTTAGAAAAATATTATTAAATTACCTCTGTGCAAAGGTGCTGTATCAATAACTCGACTCTTATTATCAGTATTGTCTTCACTCGCCACTTCTCCAAACTCGATATCCCCAAGATGAAGAACAGCAGCTAGGATACGATACACCGTATCCACTTCGCTATCTTGAAAGCCAAGTAATTTAAATCCAGCCTTCAATTGATGGAATTTATCAATATGCGTTTGGGAGGTTTGATTTTGATCCATCAAGTATCGATGATGTTTCCTGAGGTTTGAGTCTAGATAGAACTCTGAGAGACGATCGTCTGCTTCCAAACCGTCGTACATGTAATAAAATATGTGGAAATTGCGTTCACCTCTGAAAAAAATTATCAAAAAATTATAGATAAATTCGAAAGAAATTTTTTTTTACGTGATACTTACTCAGCTTGAGCCACAACTCGAGATTGCTCCAATAAATAAACTGATATTCTGGCACCGGTGACTTTTCCACCTTTTGTCATAGTCAAATCCAAGTATTTTCCAAATCTCGATGAATTTGCATTTATTCCAGTAGTCGCATTACCAAAGGCTTCCATTATTGGATTAATCTGTAGGATCCTCTCTTCCAAGTTGCGATTTGGAGCCTTGCTTAAATAGACTAATTGTTTGAGTAACAAATTAGCGCTTTCTGTTTTTCCTGCACCTGATTCACCGCTAATTACTATTGCTTGGTTCAGTCGTTGATGTAGCAATGCTTGGTATGCAGCATCAGCGACAGCGAAAATATGGGGTGGATTGTCTGATCTTGCTTGACCTTTGTATCTTTTTTGTTCCTGCATAAATTAATTGAAAAGTTGGTCTAATTCTTTAGAAAAATTAAAAATGTAATGTAAGATAAAACTTATTATTGTATCATATTTGATCCAAAATCCACTATAAGTGAATTATTGTTCACCTAAGAATTAAAATTATTAAAAATTACTCACAATTCCCGTGTATAATCCTAAATTAGTAAAAGGATTAACAGCAACAAGTATGTCTCCGATATAAGTATATATTTGAGCTTGTTCATATCTGTGCTGCAATTGTTCAACAATTGCATCTTCAGATAACATATCCAAAGCAGCTAAATCATCCATATACATTTTCTCTGGTCTCGCTTTGCGATCAGTTTTCAATTTTCCATGTTTCGTGGTCACTTCCGGTTGCGTGTGAACCCTACCGTCGGTTCTCTGTCGACGAATCTCTTCTTTAAGTTCCTCTCTGACCTTTTCTACAGTCGCATCGACACCGATAAGGAGAGGATGCTCTTTTAATTCACTGGCGAATGGTCGGTACTCGAGATCTTTGACCAAACATTCGGTAACGAAATCCACCAATTCTGGACAATGGATATCCGGATTCTTTAAAGATGGCGGTGGATTTCTGGGGATTTGAAAAAGAGCTCTCATCGGATGCAGGTCGGATAGCGGAGGATCTCCCTCCGCTAATTCGATAGCTGTGATTCCAACTGACCAAACGTCGCATCGTGAATCGTAAGAGGAATCCAATTGTTGCTCGCAAGCAATCACCTGTTTTTAATAAAATTATTTTTTCGAGGAAATATGAATAACGCTGTCGTTATCTTCTGTTGTATATAGGGAAGAATTTGTAGTTTATAATTAAAAATGAAAAAAATATTTTATAATTCTACTGAAAAAATTTAATGGTACATTTTTGGCGATTCATAGTCTTAGAAAATGCAAAAATAAAAATATTTCTCGTATACTTTAAATGTAAGCAATTTTAAAAGTGGTCCATGGTAAATGAATTTTCAACTAATTGTGGATGGTGATATCCGGGTATTAAATCTTTTTAAAATAATTAAATAAAAAAGTACAGAATTAATGCATACAAAATTGAATACCTCTACTACTACCATTCACAATCAGAAATTCATTCTCTATGGACCACTTTTAAGATCTTAATTATCTAGGATTTATTGAATAAAAATTTGAATGCAATTACAGGAAAGTAGTATTGAATTAATTTATAAGACGCATTTTTTGTATAGTGCATAAATAATTATTAGAAACACATCTCACCTCGGGTGCCATCCAATAAGGTGTACCAACCGAGGTGTTCTTCCTCGCGAGCGTTTCAGCGAGATGCGAAGAAACGCCAAAGTCCACCAATTTGACGTGTGCATCCTCGTTGAGCAAAATGTTATGCCCCTTAACGTCACGGTGCATGCAGTGATTGCTATGTAAATAAACTAACGCCTCCACCGTTTCCCGTAGGATATAAGCTATTTGTTCGTCGGTCAAACGTCTCCCTTTCTTCTTCAAACCTTGAACGAGATCGGTAACCGATCCCCCAGTGCACAGCTATCAAATCCAACAAAAGTAATGAAATTTTTCTAATCGTTAAATCGTGCAATTTAACTTTAATCATACACATATTTTGAAACACGAGCGATCAGCGACCATAAACTCTTCCTCGAATGCACCCCAACCGATCGGTTAATTGCAATTTAATAAGGTAATCACGAGGTTGATGATTCAGATAAAAAAAAGGTTAGCCTGGGCAATTGTTCACTCGTTACGCTTTCCTGACTGTGTTACGAGAAAGTCAGAACGACAATACCTCCATGACGAACCATAATTGATCCTCTTCCTGAGCTGGCTTCGCTCTCTTCAGAAATAAACCATGAAATTGTGGGATATTCGGGTGGTGGCTCAGATCTCTTAACACCAGATACTCCTCCTCGATCTCCTCGATATTATCCGCCACGTTCTCAAGGATCTTGATGGCAACTTTATTGCCAGTTTCGTTGCAGTGTGCGCTGTAAACCTCCCCGTAAGTTCCTTCGCCGATCAATTCCTCCAGGACGAAACGATCGTCGGGATCCGGTATCACGTCGAAGTTCACGTGCTGACTGAGACCGTGGTACGCCATGTTGGTCCCACCACCGGTCATTTCTGAAATGATTCAGGAAAATCAAGTTAGATTGAATAGTTGAATGATTTCAGGGATCTCCTTTGAATTATAGAATTTTTATTTTTTAAATTTGCATTCACTAAAATCTCTAATCGGGTGCATGTTCAACGGAGAGAAAGTATAGTGACTTTAATGGTGTTTTACTTTCCTTAGGGTACTTGGAAATATTATAGAAAATTAATGGGACCGCGTTAGTGAACCGATTCCTGGATCGAGTCTCCTAGAAAGTTGCGGTGAACCACAGAAAGAAAAGTCGTCGCTGCGATACGTGGCTTAATCAATAAAAAAACATTTTTCAGGCTAAAGTTTGTTGAAGAGAATAGGAAAAATAATTTCTATAGAAGCTGTGGAAATAGAACTTCTAATCCAATTAATACACCTAAAGAAAGGAGATTTATATAAGTCAGTTAGAGCGGTTATGTAACTTGTTATTATATTCCCTAATTATAATCGAATTTATATTTTACACTTATCTAGATCTAATATCTAATTAATAAATAAACTAAAGTTAAATTAAACATAAAATTGAACATTTTCTCTTATTAATAATAATCGTTATTATTATAGATTATGCAGTTCCATTATTTCATGAACATTTCACTTCATTTGAAGCATAGAAAGCACTTCCTCTTTTATAATATACAAATTTAACAACAATTAATCACTAAATTATTTGGAAAATTATATTAAGAATACTCCATTGCACTTTTCATATTATTCTTCAACAGAAAGTTCCTGATTATTTTTAGATTTTTACCCACCGATTATATCACCCATTTTCGGTAACTTTGACTCGCGTTGTTAATTTTAAAAATCTCGATGCCTCATTTAAGTGTTAGTGTTTTTAATGAACACTGTTCACTTGACCAGCTACGAGATACGACTGGGTCGTTCGTCTTCTAACCAGATACCTGTTAACCCCTTAATAGGATTGGACTCTGTAAGACCGGCGCACTTCTGCTAGGTCTCAGAAATAGGTCTCGTAAGAAGACCATGCCATGTGTTCCACTGTCATTTTAATTCGTGATCTTGATATTAATTTCATAATAGATTCGGTAGATCCGCTTTCGTACACCTTACTAATCTGACGGTTTTCGCTGTGATTGAACATGGTTTCTATGTTGGATGAATGGTACCAATATCGATACGTATCGATTATCAAACGATTTCGAAATTCGAGATACTTGGTAATTATCTTTTTAATTAGTAATAAGGTCCTAAGTTCCAAACATCTAAAATTGCAATTTTAATTTTTAATTTTAATTGCAATTGTAGATAATTGGTACTTACCTCAATAAATAATAAAGTTCCAGATACCTAATATTGTCATTCTAGGTTTATCAATCAAGAATTAATAAAATTTTTATAATTTTGATAAGGTGTTACAATTTAATTAATTCCAATATTAATATTTATTTTGTATTATATAATGAATAATCTGATTTCTTCAAAGAAATGAATGAAATGAATTTGTTAGTAGAAATATAGATTCTTTTCTTTCACATACAACAGAAGGTATTCAAGATATGCTAATAGGTGGTCTACGCCATTGGGTGAAGCCGCCTAAGGGTCGAAGCCACTCCTGGTATCGAATGACATTCTATAACACGAAATTAAACAGGACGTTTATGGATCACAAGCGACAGCTGCAGTTAGTGGTAGTTATTAGAAGAAAATTAATGAAACGAAGTAGTTAAATATTTTCAACACACCACTTTATTTTTTCCAATATTTTTTTATATTTTTGTTCCTTCTTCGAATCCTTTCATTTTTTCTTCTCAATAGTAATTACGTACTAATTTGAGTTCATTTTGATGCAGAGCTGTTTCTAAGAAAAGGAAAACATAAATGAAAGGTGTTCACAAGTAGAATAAGAAGTGTATAATTATAGGGTATTCTGAAACACGTTCAGCTTTTATCTTTTCACGATGAAATAACGTGCAATTAGAATCAGCATAATTCTATTGAAATTCAAACAGAAGAACACGCTAAAATACACAGATAATTTCATAATCGTGTAAGCGAGAACATAGGTGTTAATTATTGTGCACGCCCATCGGATTCAGGTTCAACAGCGTGAAGTGTGTCAAATGCATCTGTTTCAGGTGTATAAAATAATTTACACCATGTAATTGTGATTCTGTATTTCAAACACTAATTAATCATAGGCTCGAATATGTTAAGATTAATGATTTCATAATACAACTCTTTTGATTTGTCAAATATTTCAATTTCTTTTACTTTTTTCTGGAAACCAAATTAAATATGAAGAAATGCTATTGAAATGCAATTGAGAGATTTGTATGCAACAGTAATTTCATTTCTCCTGGAAGAATAAAATTTCAAGTGGATTCCTCTCAAGTTGTTTAAATTTCACTCAAGTGGTGTCTTTTCTATCGAATGGTCGTCCTAAAAAATCACTGAAAACATCGACCGATTAGTGTCTTCGACCTAGAATACGGGAATCCTGTCAATTTCACACATCGATGCTTTCTTTTCTGCAAAATCTGTTCACGTTCATTTCGAGAACTATTGTCTCCTCGGTTGATGATAGTCATTGCTCGAGATTGTGCGTCTTGTGTCTCTGATAATATTTCTTTCGCTTCGATAGCTTCGATCGGAATATCAATCGTAAACAATAATCAATGAACGGTCACGTGGCTAGATGGGTATTAGAGCGAAGAAACCCGACGTGAAATTGGCTTAAAGGCCTCGACTGTAAAGTAATGTCTATCATAGCTGCGTCATGATGTCCAACTGCCTTGGACAATACTTGACTGCACCTAATGTGGTGCATAAGCCGACGAAGTCACGAACATCGTGGCTTCTCGGTTACAACGATGACATAGCTGATGAGAATTGTTTTTTATTAACCCGTTTTATTACTGCACATTGCCAGATAATGTCTATCATTAACACTTCGAAAAAGAAATAGTAAGAAAATGAAGTTTAATTAAAGGTTTAGTAAATTCCAATTACTGTACAGTGTGATTCATGCAATTATTATATTTTAAAGCAATTTTCTTTTGTTAGTGTAATTAGAAAAAGAATTTGAGAAGAAAAGAATGAGTAGTTTGAAAGGTATTACAGCTGTAAGTCCATGCATTTATTGCAATTGAGTACAACGATGCACATGCATTTAATAATTGCAATACTTTTTTTAAGGCTATCTTTTATGTATTTTTTTACGTATATCGATTCTTTGGGATATTATAATAATATATATGTATAAGTTTCTCATAAGTAACATTTCTAATACCATAGTATACCAATTCTAGTATTGTACTCTAATACCTCTTCTTATACAGAATTTTCCAAACAATCCTATTATTTTTATCTATTTTATCAAGTACTAATTACACTGAATTGAAACACTTGAATACAGCCCAATTAGTAATTTTCTGTTAAATATCAGAGGAAACTTAATATTGCAAAAGCCTAAATTTTCATGAAATGGGAGACCATGAATGTATTAAAATATCTAAAAATCATTCGTCTGTTTAGAAAAAATTATTCCTCTATGTGTGATATTTATGTGATCTGATTTAAATATCATTCAGATGACAAATGAGATGAAGTAAGAGGTCAGAGGCTTTTTCTAATCGCACGTATATACGCGGTTCCGGTGTTTTAATCCTTTTCAGCGTGACGGTGTAACGGTACAGTGAGTGTAGTCAATGGTCACTCCACGGCTGTGTAATATTTAAACCATGTTTTCAACAATGCAATTGCAAACTGGACCTTTATGCTAATTATTTCCAGTGCAATCTCTCTTTCAGGAAAGTTGTTGATTTTATCGCTGCTAAACGTACAAGCGTGTACCATGACAAGAGAACATTTTATATTTTAAACGCATCCTCTGCACAACATATGCATACATAGTATAATACCTTCTGAAAGGGTTAATTTACATCTTTTGCAGTAGATAAATATTCCATGATGTATTAATCATTCGAGTAACAATAGTTTCAGACTGTTACGCAATATCCTTCGGTAACACGAGATAAAATATGTTACGGGTCTTGTTTCGTGTTTCTCATTGATTCATTAAAATGTAAATTCTTTTTCGAAAACCTGCCACACGTCGCGGTTATGGTTTCATCTGCATACCGTGACGGAGTAACGGTATAATGTGTGCCATCGATGGTGTTAACCGGCCATTACTCACTCATTAAATTAATTTAATGAAACTAATGAAATTTCAGCAAAAAAATAATAATTTTTCATTTAAGAAAAATTATATTCATTAAAGTTTACATTTTTAAGCAAAATTATTTAATTTTTCAATTTCTCAGACAAATTCGAATTCACGTATTTGCAATATACTTAGTTCCCATCGCTAATAAAACCAGTTTGCAAAATGTCAAAAGAAGGATGTGCAGACACGCGTACCGAAGCCACAATCATGATAGATATCATTTATCATCGATCCAAGTTACGCTGCGAATCAGCCGCAAAATTTCTGTACAGCGGTTTCTGTAAACCGATGCGTGACCGACTCTATTTTCCGTGCTCCTTTATATTTTTTCTATGCTTATTCATTTTTTTTTTTTTTTTGTTATTTTTCTTCGGATCATGCTTCCTCGTAATCGATACCGTGTATTTGTCGATGCAGTACCGGAGATATTAATTCCGGTAGACGATGAATATCAGTATCATCGGTTTGCATTGCGTTATTGTTTCGCCTTGCAACAATCCTCATCGAACGATACAAATTTCTTTCTTTTTTTTTTGTACATACATGCCATGAATTGTCACATTTTGCTTCTCATACTTCCGCAATTCATCTTTCGATTCGCATGCGTCACGCTACGGAAAAGGAAATATTCATACGAAATTACGGCATTTTTAGGCTTACGTTATCTGCAAATTCATCGTTCGATGTGTTGGCTTTTTTCGAGGTATTTCGTGGAAATATTTGTTGCGCCATTGTGATTTCGCGGTGCTTTTTTAACGTGAATTATTTTGCATGATAATGTGAGAATGGGAGGGTTTGAAATTTGCGTGATGTTGGATAATTAACAAGGTTGCATTCGAATGTTCTGTAGCGAAAATTCAAGAAAATTAGAATAATTTATTCTTCGAGTACAGTGTAAAATTATTTAGTTTGATGTTAATGGAAGCGAGAAAAATTAAATTACTTTCAGAGTTACAAATTTTATACGATTAATAAACTTTGAATAATGTTGATTCAATTTGAAGATTAATCTGTTGATGCATTATTCAACAGAAAGTTTTAGAAATGGTAAAGGAAGCAGAATTATCATTAAAATAAAAAGGAGGAGATGTGCAGGTACACATAGAGAATGTATTTTCGTTTCGTGTCGATGTCACTTGTGACTCCGTAAAAGTGTGCTAATTCCATAATAATGCGAAGCCCTACTTTCCAACCTTTGACCACTGTTTGCTCTCATATTCGTTACGCTTCAACGTACCCATTGTATTCTGTTTTTTAAGCGTTTGAAAAATTAGGTGAACCCTTAGAAATGTGTCATTCACAATGTGCAATTTAAAAAATATTCTATTAGCAACTATTTATAGAATTAATTAGATAAGGAATCCAATCGAAAGAGAAAACTACTATCTATCATGATTCATTTCAAGAATTCTGTTTCTTTTTTTTGTGGCAATCATCCGGTCGGAAATCGTGCATGACGAATTCACATAACGCGTTTCCTATTGTATATTATACAGTATGAAAATTCTCGTGCAATAAGGAACGAAAATTGTTGAAAGTATTACGGTTAAAGATGGTTATGCACTAACAATATTAATATTACATTATGAATAATTCAATAAAAAGGAAGGATTGCAACCTAATGCAATTCTATTATAAAATTTTCATTATAGTATTAAAAGTTAATTAAAGATTAAATTAAATATTTGTGGCAATTATAATTATTATGTTTTCCTATTATATTGAGTGGTATTAGATTTTCATTTTTACACCTATAAAATTAACACAGGTGTTCTTTAACCTAATGCAAAAAAACAGTTTGCCAATGTTATAAGAGAAGAAACACGACATCGATACTTGATACACTTCATCGAATTACATTATTGAAATCATACGTTCTACTTTCGTGTGATTTTAACAAGACACGAGTTTGTATTTCTCATGGTGTAAA